CGGAGATTAAAATAGAAAACGGGGTCGTGAATCCAGTGTTCATTCCCGGTTTTGTCGGTGGAACCAGCTTAAGGTCACGTTCCATCTCCCCCTGATATTTTTCCGCAGCTCCAGATTCCGGTATAAGTTCCAGAACGTCCGCATTCCCTGCTGGGAGCCCAATTAGTGTCTTAGAGGGTTGTTTTCTCAGCTGAGCGCCGTGTTGGTATTTCAGGTAGACTCTCACAGATAAATATTGCTTACCTCCTTTACCAGTGAAATCTCTAAGGCCATTGAGGGGTGAGCCAGGCTCAAGAAATTGATTGTTCCGGGCAATCTCCCCCCCCCCCTCGCCCCAAAATATATATTTAGCAATGAAAGAAGGAACCTCTGACCTTTTGTTCCTGTTGTACTTTTCACGGCCGGGTTTGCAAAAATCTGATCAAATCTGTCAGTTCCGTAAAAAATGGTTGTTTGATCCATGAAATTAGAAGGGTATACGCAGGAAATCCTGAGACCTTGTGGTAACCTGGTGACCAGGAGACAGATCACCGATCCACGTGGAAGGTTAACGTTGGCATATTTAGATCCGCCCTTGACTCGCGGTTGACAGATGGGTCCGTTCATTTAACTTCAGATGTTGCCTCAGATATTGACCTGGAAGTGTATAACCCTTAGGACTAACATGGGCTTAAGTCACACATGGATACATCTGTGCTGTCTGCCAGACTGGTCCACCTCCACCTCCTGGGGGTTGATAAGAAAACCCTTTCCCATTTGCTTCTTCTGCCCTATTTCCATCTGTCTCCACGCTGAATGCTGGAACAGGGACAGTGTTGCCGAGATTGTTTTCTGGTCTTCTGTGACACATTTTTTGGTAATCACACACACTGCCGCACTCTTTGACTGTGCCGGAAATAAGTTGCTTCCAGGAAATCCATTTTAAAGACACTTTTTGATAAATAATTAATATTTGTTGTAAGTAAATTATGATGCAAGTGCTGCAGAGATATGCATTTGTGTCTAGACACCAACACACACAATATAGGAGCAAACCTCATGCAATCCAGCACCAATACACACGCACTCACACACGCACTCACACAAACACACACACACACTATCACACACGCACTCACATGCACACAATGGTACAGTAATTCATGAAGGGCCCCTGGTGTCTGGAAATACTCAGAACAATCTGGAGGTGGACAGAGGAGCACGTTGTTAAATGGAGCCCTGTCTGAGAACAGCTGAAAGGTTTCCAAGGCCACAATGGGCACAGGATACTCAGAAGAATATGCTAATTCACCGAACACACTGCCGTTGTGACTATATTTACATCTCGGTTCATTTCGGCTGACAGTGTTACGCGGAATACCGTACAGCACGTTTAGCCAAGGAGGTTACATCGACCGCACAGGCGCGGTTAGTAAAAGAGGTAACATCGACCGCACAGGCGCGGTTAGTAAAAGCGTTCCTTATTATCGCTGGATTTCCTTTTGCCTATTCGCAATTACTGGTTCTCCATCCATTCTTGCCGGTCGTTCTGTCTGGTGGAAAAGGTTTGTCCACGATCAGGCGTTTCTCTGGTAGGGTTTGGGCCGGAATGACGGGCGTGACAAGGCCGCGGATTTGTGGAAACTCAACTATTGGACATTTGTGTAGTCAAGTGCAAGAAAGAAGGACGTAAATAAATTGAAGTTGGCTCTGGGTCATGGCAGCACCTATGGCCCTCACACACGTATGAACCACACACACACGTATGAACCACACTCACACGTATGAACCACACACACACACACACGTATGAACCACGCGCACACACACGTATGAACCACACACACACATATGAACCACACACACACATATGAACCACACACATGCACACGTATGAACCACACACACACGTATGAACCTCACACACACACACGTATGAACCTCACACACACATATGAACCTCACACACACATATGAACCACACACACACACTTATGGCCCTCACACACACGTATGAACGGTACACATGATGAACCCCGGAAATGAAACCAAAAAGAAAGGAAGCCTAATGGAATGACTGACAATGTGAGGAGACTTCCGTATTGTGGCGACTGCGTTCTCTAGCTAACTTCCTCTGTGCCGCGCCGTCGACTGGACCGGTATCCAATTTTGAGTGAACGCGCAGGATATTCTCCCAGCGGTCTCACTTTATATGGCGTGAGAGTGAAACACTTGTCAACTGGCACAGAAAAAGGAGTGCCAGAGCAGTCTCGTACGCTCCGTCCACCAACCAGTCAGTCAAACCGTGTGTGTTTTTGCCGCGACTGTTTTTCACCCAGTTGGCGCATTGGACTGCTAAGCCTCACTGTTCACGCTAAGTAAGGCAGCTAATTTCTGACTTCTGTTCCACCTAGTCAGTCGTGTGTAGTAAACGGAACCCCGTTAACACGATCGACGTCATGCATTCAATTTACATCTTAATCCCCTACCCTCACAGTTGACACATCCGAGTGTCGTCTGTGGTTAAGCCGTGCGGTTTACATTTTACCACTTCATGGCTGTGTGTATCTGTGTAGCCCATGGCAACATGATTTTCGGCACACCTTGACTTTAGCAGTGGAAGGAAAAAAACTGAGCAGATGTAAACACACTCGAGTGGTAAGCGAACAGAACCGGGAAGTGACCGTTTTAACGGTTGGGGGTGACCGCGTTGGCCTCGACGACCACCCGTACGCGATGTTCTGACGCTGAAAGAAAAGCCTCTCTCGTCCCCTCGTCCGGGCAGTGCATCACGTTTGGCCTCGTCGGAGAACAGCGTAACGTTTGACCTTGTTGGGGAACAACATCACGTTTGACCTCTGCCTCTTCCCGGCCGGAGGTTTCGCATCCAAGTCTTAATGAGCTGTAGAACAAGCGAAGACCTTCTCCGGTTTGTTTTCAAACATCTGCAGTGTTGCAGATGTTTCCTGGGTTTAGCACTTGTGCGACATTGTGGTCAGGGTGCGTGGCCCTGGATGCTTTTTCCCACAACAATCCCTTAGACATGTGGCTTCATCGCGACCTCCAGAGCTCCGCTGGCACGGCAGAGAGTGCTTTCTTTGTAGAGGGAGATATACCGTTAATATCTATAATTTAGCAGCAGTTGTGTACGAACAGCTTTGATTCGATAATGGTGATTTGTCAGACGCTGTGGTCTTTGTTTTCTGCTGATCTTTGTATGGAATGGAAGACTTAAACCATGGGCCACATAAGGACATGGCTGTTATACCGGAGTTTACTCTTAGGGACTGCAAATGTACACTGTTATACAAGCTGTACACTCACTATTTTACATTGTAGCTAATTGTCATTTCTTCAGTGTCGTCACATGAAAAATATGTAATCAAATATTTACAAAGATTTGAGGGGTGTACTCACTTTTGTGAGATACTGTATATGGTAATTTCTTTGAAGTAGTATTATGTCTAAGGTTTTCTGTGAACACAAGGAGTACAGCAGCTTGCACAACTGTGCCATTTTGAGAGCCATTCGTATCTCGTTGGAGTGGGGGTGTCTTATGAATTCGGTATCCATGGCATCTGAACCTCAGGACGTTCGGACTAAGCTTCGGCTATATTTAAACAGGGAGGTGGTTCGTTCTCCCAGTGACCATTAGCTTCTCAATTATTGCCCAGGGTTCTCCGCTGGACGATCATGGCAGCTTTAGCACTTATTAAAAGCACTCTGCGGCGCTGGGAGCTCTCCCGCTCGGTTCCTCTTCAAGCACACCTTTCCGGGTTAATGAGCCCTGAACAAGTGGGTAGATGTGTTGCCCGCGCTGAAATGAAAAGGCCTGACGCAGGTGTGATGTGATTTAATGAGCCCCGTTCCTGAAGGGGTGAGACTTTAACGGAGTCCGTTCGTTCTGTTGCATCTGAGGATGCTTATAGACTTCGCTTGTCATTTTGGATCGTGAGTAGATAATTGTACTGTCTGAAAGTGAACATCTCACATCATTTTGCGTATTTCCCAATTATCGTTTTAAGACAAATGAAAACTGTATTTAATATATTATAATACATAAACAAATATGAACCGGATATTTCATATTCTAATATACTAAATTCATTTTGTGGTCATTAGTGCATGCGTTATGTTTTGGCAATATTTTTATCTTCGTAAAGCACTCCTTTTGGTTAAACCAACCAACACTATCAATATCTGTCACCCTTTTTACTGGCACAGGAAAAGTGAAAGCCAGCTCACGCAGTTGGATGGATAGCTGTGGAAATTCCCCAGTCGTGTCAAATAAATGGGTTATTGGCAGATATGTTTCTCGGTAGATGTGGCTGTCTGATTTTACCGGAACAAAGAGCGTTGCCGGTTTGAAAAATGGGGATGACTTTTAAACGCGGTGGAATGTTGCAGTTTGCTGCTTCCCGACCTGGATCAGATGGTACATTGGTATATCAGCGCTTAATAAAAGCCTGCAACGTTTTTCACATGCCTCGTTGTACCAGGAAAGTTTAGCGATCATTGTATCTTCAAGCATGTTATATCATTCAGCTAGTTAATAAAGGATACTTTTGCCGCTACTTCAAACTTCTTAAATGTTGATTTGGCAACTTAGCGCTCTGGAGAAACCATCCCACCGCCGCTCACCTGAGCTTTGCCGTTATCTGACAGGCTGATGTGTGTAACTTTAAAAGGATGTGCTTTCCCAAAACATTGGCCAACAACAACAACTTCAGAATAACCGACGCAAAAAAAACATTTTCAAGTGTAATTTCATACTTTGGCAGAGGTTCGTGTCTAGTAAAACTGAGTCCACTTTGTTCATTACAGAATCATTAACGGTCTGACAAAATGGGAGACGACTGAGTTGCGTCTTGCTTTCTCAGTCTTCCATCCACTGTGCTTTGTCTCATCACCATATTTGGTAGTGAGTGGCAATGCTTCCTCGTTATATGAAATATGTGAAATATTTTTATTTAACCAAGTAGGCCGATTGAGAATAAATTCTCATTTGGGGAGCAGCTGGGCATTGAACCCTGGGCATTGAACCCTGGACATCTTACATACAGAGCATCCACTCTACCACTGAGCTACACCAACATGCACTCTACCACTGAGCTACACCAACATCCACTCTACCACTGAGTTATACCAACATGCACTCTACCACTGAGCTACACCAACATGCACTCTACCACTGAGCTACACCAACATGCACTCTACCACTGAGCTACACCAACATGCACTCTACCACTGAGTTACACCAACATCCACTCTACCACTGAGTTACACCAACATCCACTCTACCACTGAGTTACACCAACATCCACTCTACCACTGAGCTACACCAACATGCGCTCTACCACTGAGCTACACCAACATGCACTCTACCACTGAGTTACACCAACATGCACTCTACCACTGAGCTACACCAACATGCACTCTAGCACTGAGCTACACCAACATGCACTCTACCACTGAGCTACACCAACATGCACTCTACCACTGAGCTACACCAACATCTTCCTTTATTAAATCTGCATCATTCACTCGTTTACAGTGCCGTCATGAATCTTTGCCGTTTAAGGGTGTGAAAGAATTGTTGAAGATGTTAAACCTCTTGGAAACAATAACAAAACTCCACTTTGCTACATCTGTGGAATTATGTCGTGGCGTATGTGTGTGTGTGTGTGTGTTTTCAATAATCTAGACAAAAGCAGAGAAGGTTACTTGACTTAAGCGTTAAATACAATGAATAAACTGTGAACACTGGTAACATTTTGCTGTCTTTGTGTATAAAAAAGGAATCAGAAATGGCGGCAGGGAATATTCCCTCAAAATACCGTCAGGAAGTGTTCAGAAAATACACCATCTCCAACAACCTTTCAGACTACAATAGTCCGAGTTCAGAGGTCATTGTGGTGATGGTATTCTCTTTCCTGTTTACAATGCCCAGACCACCAACGGACTAAATATCACTTCTGAAAACAGGAAGCGTATTTTTACACTGAAGGCCAAAGGGGAGGGAAATAAAGCTTACTTCACCGTTCTGACCATCTGGATATCTGGCTGAGTCGGGAGCACGATGTTACCCGGTTCTAATTGGAGAGACTCATGGAGGTATGAAACACAGAGTCCCCCAGAGGGGGGTCCGACAGGAGAAGTGGACAGACGAACAGCCTTATTACCCACTGTTACACTGTTCCATACCGCGGTACCTGCGGAGGAGTTTGAATCTCCACCGTCAGGCAAGGACATATAAAACAATCACAATACCATCCCAAGATAATTCCCAGATCGTTAGGCCGGCGACAGGTTCCTCAGAGAGTTTGTGTTACACAAACGTGACCAGGGCTCACCGATTCAATGAAGTCATGGACGAGCAGACACACCAGCCTGTGGGGATTTGATGTGTCCTAGTTGTCACTAAGACTGGACTGTGATTTGTGGTTCCCGTCAGTCATTCATTGGCTGCTGATGGTTGGTTGCTCTCTGGACGACTGTGTCGAACTGTAGGCATAGGAGAGGTCATCGGTTCTGTAATATAAACCAGGACCAAGGCCCCATAGCAGGGGTTATTGGTTCTGTAATATAAACCAGGACCAAGGCCACACAGCAGGGGTTATTGGTTCTGTAATATAAACCAGGACCAAGGCCACACAGCAGGGGTTATTGGTTCTGTAAAATAAAGCCCATGGTTCTGAGGTAGGGAGGCATTTAGGTTGACGGTTGATGTGGGAAGGGATAAAGGGGTTCTGTTTTAACCCATTTGATGTCTGGTGTCAGAGTAACAGATAAGGTTGCCTCTCTCCTGTTTCTCTCTGCTTCTCACAGACTTTTTTAATACACGTTCATTATTCTAGACTATTCTACATAAAACTCTTTTCTCTCGTTGTCCCCTCACTCAGTCACCACCAGCTGCACCCAACCCGCCCCCATCTTCCGCCCAAGAACCCCCCAAAAAATGAAAAACCTTTCAACATAGGATTTCAATTTGTACTGTACGTTTCATTTCTTCTGGGATTTCGATTTATTTCATGTTGGCTGCTTTTAATTAACTCTGGCATCGCGACGACGGTGGAAATAAAAGCTCGGCACACCCGTTGTCGATGAGTTACCCTGGCAATCATTTACCACTTAGACAGTGGTGCGGTAACCCCCGGCCGTCGCCCTGGCAACCGGCGCCTTGGCGATTGAGTCCTCGCCAGTGTGGCGCGGCTGTGGGGTGTGGGGCTCGTGATCTTAGAACGCTCGCTACGTCTCCCTAATTAAAATGGGATTACGGGGAACCGTGGAGGTGTGTGTTTAAACAAATGCGACGGCTGTGAACGAAATCAATTTGCCTTAATGTCAGGGCGTTTAAACACGACGCAGGGTAAACAAATGCAATCCAAGACCTCCACCTAAAATGTCCAAAAAAATGGGATGACGGGATGCTGTTGCGTTAATCATGTGTTGGTAAACATTATGTCCAAGACATATGCCACCGATGTCCAAAACATTATGACCACCTGACTAATATGCTGTTGGTACTCTGTGTGTTGCCAAAACATTATGACCACCTGACTAATATGCTGTTGGTACTCTGTGTGTCGCCAAAACATTATGACCACCTGACTAATATGCTGTTGGTACTCTGTGTGTGCCAAAACATTATGACCACCTGACTAATATGCTGTTGGTACTCTGTGTGTTGCCAAAACATTATGACCACCTGACTAATATGCTGTTGGTATTCCACATGTCGCCAAAACATTATGACCACCTGACTAATATGCTGTTGGTACTCGGTGTGTTGCCAAAACATTATGACCACCTGACTAATATGCTGTTGGTACTCTGTGTGTCGCCAAAAAAACATTATGCTGTTGGACAAAACATGACCACCTGACTAATATGCTGTTGGTACTCTGTGTGTCGCCAAAACATTATGACCACCTGACTAATATGCTGTTGGTACTCTGTGTGTCGCCAAAACATTATGACCACCTGACTAATATGCTGTTGGTACTCTGTGTGTTGCCAAAACATTATGACCACCTGACTAATATGCTGTTGGTACTCTGTGTGTTGCCAAAACATTATGACTACCTGCCTAATATGCTGTTGGTACTCTGCGTGTCACCAAAACATTATGACCACCTGACTAATATGCTGTTGGTACTCTGTGTGTCGCCAAAACATTATGACCACCTGACTAATATGCTGTTGGTACTCTGTGTGTCGCCAAAACATTATGACCACCTGACTAATATGCTGTTGGTGACCACCTGACTAATATGCTGTTGGTACTCTGTGTGCAGCCAAAACATTATGACCACCTGACTAATATGCTGTTGGTACTCTGTGTGTTGCCAAAACATTATGACCACCTGACTAATATGCTGTTGGTACTCTGTGTGTTGCCAAAACATTATGACTACCTGCCTAATATGCTGTTGGTACTCCACATGTCGCCAAAACATTGTGACCACCTGACTAATATGCTGTTGGTACTCTGCGTGTCGCCAAAACATTATGACCACCTGACTAATATGCTGTTGGTACTCTGTGTGTCACCAAAACATTATGACCGCCTGACTAATATGCTGTTGGTACTCTGTGTGTCGCCAAAACATTATGACCACCTGACTAATATGCTGTTGGTACTCTGTGTGTTGCCAAAACATTATGACCACCTGACTAATATGCTGTTGGTACTCTGTGTGTTGCCAAAACATTATGACCGCCTGACTAATATGCTGTTGGTACTCCGCATGACCCAGAACAGCACCGACTAAACCCTGAAGGTGTCCTGTGGGCCAGGACTTTTGCAGCAGATTCTTTATGTCCAGTAAGTTGAGAAGTGGATCTGACTTGAGATCTGGGGCATTTGGTGGCCAAGGAAATTCCCTAGTCGTGTCACTGGACATCAGGTGCTCAACACTGTTGACCGAGAGCATCCCAACACCCTGTCGTTAGTTTGTGGTTTGTCCACTGGACATCAGGTACTCAACACTACTGACCAGAAGCACTCCACAAGCTTTGCTGCTTCAGAGATGCTCAGAGCCAGTCGTCTGGCCATAACAATTTGGCTCTTATTTGTCAGGTCTTAAGTCCTGCCCATTTGTCTTGCATCCAACATGTTGACTATATGAACTGTTTGTTCGCTTACCCTCTAATCTACCCCCGTTCTTGACATATGTCTTTTTTAGGAGATAATCAACGTTATTCGCTTCACCAGGCATAGATTCCCATGAATCGATTGAATCATGTTTGTTCACGTGTTATTTATAAAAATTGGACTTAAATAAGCTCATGTTTGCATTGACGTTCTTATCCAGGACAACTTAGAGTAGAGTTTAGGCTTTGGTGCTTGGCAAACGGGCAAATTGACAGATGTTGTCAGCTCGCAGAAGTCAACCAGTGACTTTTTGGTTAGTTCGAAAAGCTTATTAGAGACTGATACCTGTTCATTAGAGACTGATACCTGTTCATTAGAGACTGATACCTGTTCATTAGAGACTGATACCTGTTCATTAGAGACTGATACCTGTTCATTAGAGACCGATACCTGTTCATTAGAGACTGATACCTGTTCATTAGAGACCGATACCTGTTCATTAGAGACTGATACCTGTTCATTAGAGACTGATACCTGTTCATTAGAGACCGATACCTGTTCATTAGAGACCGATACCTGTTCATTAGAGACCGATACCTGTTCATTAGAGACCGATACCTGTTCATTAGAGACTGACTGATACCTGTTCATGAGAGACTGATACCTGTTAATTAGAGACTGATACCTGTTCATTAGAGACTGATACCTGTTCATTAGAGACTGATACCTGTTCATTAGAGACCGATACCTGTTCATTAGAGACTGATACCTGTTCATTAGAGACTGATACCTGTTCATTAGAGACTGATACCTGTTCATTAGAGACTGATACCTGTTCATTAGAGACTGATACCTGTTCATTAGAGACTGATACCTGTTCATTAGAGACCGATACCTGTTCATTAGAGACCGATACCTGTTCATTAGAGACTGATACCTGTTCATTAGAGACTGATACCTGTTCATTAGAGACCGATACCCGTTCATTAGAGACTGA